TGATTAAAAAAAAAAAAAAAAAAAAAAAAAAGATCACCGGATGCAACACATTACAGGCCACAGTAAACACATGCTGATCCCCATAGCCGGGTCCTTGCCCGCTCATCAGCCTTCTAGCCTCTTACTGCCACTATCCAGAGAATGGTAAGAGGACAGCCCATCAGGAATGAAGACAATACTGTTGGGGAGAGTCGCATCAAATTATGTGGACACAGCCTGGTTGCTTTTCCGTGACTGCGGTGCAATGATCTCATGAGTTCACACCACTTCTCACACAACAGGTGCACACTTTATCACACAAAGCTTCGCGAGATGCTGGACCCGGTTTCCGGCAGGTGCTGCCCCCCACCAATAGATCGGGGCCATCCACAGAGCCCTACGACTGCAGGCTGCTGGAGTAGGTCCTGGGGACGTAAAAAATAAAATGAAAAAATAAAAAGCTTCATTTGAAGCACACCAACACTATACGAGTCCACTTTGGGTATTGTTGGAAAATTCAAGCCCTATACAACAAGGTCTCATGTGTGCACACTTGGGCGGCTACTGCCTCCAGCACCGTCGCATACCGTAACGGTACAGACCAGAACAAGAACCGACCTCTCTCACGTAGTACAACATAGCGCAACGGGAGGCTAAAATACCAATGATCAACCCAATCAATGTCGCATACATCATCATCATGGCAAGGTGTGAAGGGCCTGGCGCTACACACAGGAGAAATGCTCCAGGTCCAGACCATACACAGACGAAGAGGAGGGGATCAGACGAAGAAGATGGGGGAGATGGGAATGTCGTCAACACCAAGTCTCCAGCACAGGTCCCAAATAGTCCCTCGTCAAGTGTCTCAATCCCAATGTCGAGTCCGGATCCAAATGTCATCAAGTCCCAAAGTCACCAATCTCTCTCTCTCTCGTAGTCTGCAGATACTGAGAAGTCAGGTAGCGAGAGGGTGAGGGAAAGCGCCCAGTGCTGAAGACTACTCCTAACGCTACTACTACTGCAGCGCTCCAGAGTGCTGCTGCCGAAATCCTGAAGACTGCCTCCTGCCTCCTGCACGTGAAGTGCCCGTGAACTGCCCGTGAAGTGCAGGGCGGACCAGTACTATATAGTGCTGGTCCGGCCTGGGAGACTGCTCTTGCCCATGCCGAATCGTGCCAGACCCTGGCGTTGAAGTTCAAACAAAGGTTGTCTTGAAACAGGCCCAAAAATGGCCTGTGCTAAAACCCTGGTCTGGTGCCTAAGTTTCGGGGCAGGTCGACCTTATGAGGGCCTGAAAATGGCCCTCCGTTTCAGGCTGAATAGACGCAGGGCCTGGAGGGGCCCTTTTTAGGCTGAAACGGTTCCATTTGGTCAGGCCCTACAGGTCCGTGTGGCTGCGCAGTGTGCCACACCCCCCCTCCTTGAAAGATCGAGCTTACCTGCGACGGCGAAGCTGCCTGTCGGAGGGAGGGACCAAAGTCCGGGTGGGAGGGGCAGGTCGTGAAACTTCGTTAGCTAACCTTTGTCGTTCGTAGTGAGCGAAGATCAGCGGTGCGGATGCTTTCAAATCTGCTCCTGAAATCCATCGAGTGTCATCGGGATCGCATGCTTTGAAGGTAACTTTGTACTGTCGAGACTTGCTGTCGTACTTGCGATCAGTGATGACGCGGTCAACTTCCTGATGACCATCCATAGACGGAGGGTCTTGCGATCGTCGGCCCGGGGAGTCGTCTCTTAGCTGGTGTGTATGCTGCCAGCTTTGAGGCGTGAAAGACTGGATGGACCGACATATGCGGAGGGATGTCGATCACAAAGGATGGGCCGTCGGGCTCATCGCCTGCGGCTGAAAGGACGGTCCATGGTCCAAACCATTTGGGGAGTAGTTTGCGCGAAACATCCTGTTCGAGCGCAAATTTTTCCGCGGAGACCTGAACCAGATCACCGACGCGGATGGGACATGGCACGAGACGCCTGTTGGCTTGCTGTTGCATGCAGACTTGGGCTTTTTGCATGTTCGCGTGGGCTTGAGCCAGCAGTTCCCTGTACTTCCGGACGGAAGCGGGAGAGCAAGCCGCGTCTATGCCGGCTATTCGTGGAAGGAGAAGATCAGCGAAGATACGGGTTTTCCGGCCACCGTGGTGCAACGCGAATGGAGTCACACCAATCGCCGGATGCAACAAAGTGTTGTAGGCGAACTCGATGTCGGGGAGGCGGTCAAGCCAATCCTTTTGATCCGGACAGATGAGCGTACGAAGCATCATTTTAGCGATTTGATGTGCCCGCTCCGTTTGCCTGTTCGTTTGTGGATGCCGAGTCGAACTTGGTTTCATCTTGGTGCCGGATTCTTGCATGAGAGAAGTCCAGAATGCCGACATGAAACGAGTGTCGCGGTCGCTCTTCTGGTACGTCGTGGCTGCAAATCCAGCCAGTGTGCAAAAGGCGCGCAAGTTCGGGAGCCGTGGCGTAGTACTTGCAAGGGAGAAATCGCCCGTATTTACTCAATCGATCAACGACCGTGAGGATGCCGTCGTGCCCGAAGCGGTCGCGGGGAAACGGGCCGGTGACTTCCATGGCAATGGAGAGGCCGGGTTCCCGTGGGATAGGCAACGGGCGCAACTCGCCGCAAAGATTTCGGTTGCGGGGCTTGCTTCGTCGTCCAACTTCGCAAGAGTTGCAATACCGAGTGACATCGGTAATGAGGTCGGACCACCACAATCATTGCCGAAGTCGTGCAATAGTCCGATTGACTTCCATATGGCCAGCGAGTCATGAGTCGTGGTACTCGCCGAGAAAGCGAGTCCGATGACGACGGTCTCGTGGGACACACAATAAGTCCTTGCCTCGCGAGTGGAGGAGCAAGTACCCGTCGACGATGTGATAGTGGCTGGCCGGCGGGTGATCCAAAGATAGCTGCGCGTAGAGCGTGGCAAAATTCGGATCGGACTCATAGCCCCGGATGAAGTGCCGCTAGAGCTCCTCGTCGAACGAGAAGGCATGATGTATCATAGCTCAAAGATTGGGTCTTTGCGAGAGTGTATCTGCTGCGTGATTGGAGAGGTAGGCGAGATGTTTCGGTGTGAAGTCAAATTGGTCGATGAAGTACATCCATTGTCAGTGACCCATGTGAACCTACGACGCCCAAGAAGGAAGTGTCGCCAATGCTTGAGAGCCATCACGAACGCAAGTAGCTCCTTTTTCCTTGCATCATCAAGTGAGTTGATGGGAGACACTTTGTGTCTTAAATACTCCACGGGGTGCCAATCGTCGCCGTCGTGTTGTTCCAAGACTGCCACAATGCCATAGCCGGAAGCATCAGTCGTGACTCTCGTTGGCAAGTTGGGGTCGTAGATGCTAAGGACGGGTGCCATGAGCATGGCTGTCTTGAGTGCTTGGAATGACCGGCGCGCGTCGTCGTCGAATACGAATGGCACCTTTGGTGATTGTAGTTTCGTCAATGGTGCAACGATCCTTGAGTATCCGGTGATGAAGCGTTGATAGTAGCCCGCCAACCCCATGAATGAGCAAACGTCTGTGGTGTTGGTGGGCTCGGGCCAAACGCAAATAGCCTCAATCTTGTATGCGAGTGGACGGATGCCTTGCGACGTCACATAATGTCCCAAGTTCTCCAACTCTTGCCGCGCGAATTCGCATTTGTCGTGGTTGACTTTGTACTTGGCTTGTCTTAGCCGCCCCAAAACGGTGTGCAGTGCTCCACATGCTCGTCCAAACTCCGGCTGTAGACCAAGATATCATCGAGGGAGATGAGTACGAATTTATCCAGCATGTGTTGGAACTCCGTATTCATAGCCGCTTGTGTCAGGGCATTCGTAAGGCCAAAAGACATAACCAGCCATTCAAAATGTCCATATCTCGTCTTAAACGCGGTCTTGTAGTGGTCCTCCTGCCGGTTCTCGAGTTGGTGATCTCCCGATTTGAGGTCAAGCTTGGAGAAGAACTTGGCGCCACCCAACCGTTCAAGGAGGTCGTCGATGCGTGGAAGAGGGCCAACGTTCTTGACGGTTTGCGCTCTGAGCTTGCGATAATCGATGCACAACTGCAAGTCCTTGTTCTTCTTCCACACGAAGAGAACGGGAGCGTCGTATGGCGAAGAGCTAGGCCAAATCCAGCCTTTCTCAAGAAGGTCGTCGTGTTGTGCCCGTAGCACACTTAACTCTTCCTCGCTCATGCGGTAAATGCAACCACGCGGAGGTACGGCCCCGGCCTCGAGGATGATCTCGTGGCAGATGGGCCGATCCCGTACTACTCTGTGCGGGGCTTCGAACACGTCGCCGTAGGCGTCGACACGCTCGGTGATCCGTGGATTCGTCGATGCGTCCGTCGATGAGATGTCATGGGGCGGGAGGGTGTGGAGAAAACACACACCCATCTCCTCGATGTCATCTCATGTGATGGAAGCTCGAACGCTCGCGGCGGACACCACATGACAGTTGATTGAAGGGTGAGGTGGAGGCACCGTGCATGGGACTAGTACTCCGTTCCAATCACGAACGTGAACGGTGCGGCGGTAGAAGTTCATCAGGTGGTCCTCGCTTCGCAGCCATGACATGCCCAAAATCATGTCGAATTGGGTGTCCAAAATGTTGAAGGACACGACCTTGCTTGCATGCGGGGCGAAGTACACGGGGATGAAATCAATGCACCGGTCGATTGACTTGTGCGTGTGACCGTCGGCCAACGTGACTTGCGTGGGCTGCGACTTCCTCCGAACGCGTGGCCCAAGGCCAGCACGTACCATAAAGTATTGGCTGATATAGTTGCGAGTGGCTCCGCAATCGATCAAAGCGTTGCAGGTCGCTTCTCCGATCTGAATGCGTATGTACAACAATGGCGCGTCGATGTCGTCGTACCGTTATGTCTTGAACTCGCAGTCGGTCTTTGCAACATAGTCGTGAAGGTCGACAACCTCTACTCCGGCATCCATCAACGGAGCTGGTACTGTAGTGTGCAAGTAATCCCGCAATTGTGCCATGAGCACGTTGCAATGCAGTTTCGGCAATCGACCCATTGGAGGAAGGGGCATCCATCGGAAGTCCGCAAATGTCAACGATTCGAGTTCTTCAAGTCTTGACCATGACATTGAATCCCCGACGAAATTTGGCGGCGAAGCTGCCGAATCGGTTGCCTATGGTGATGAAACCTCGCATGCAGTGGATTGTTGCACGTGGAGTGGTTGGTCCAACGGTGGGACCAAGTGGGCAGCGTAATCCTCTTAAGTGAACCAAGGACTCGCGACATCCGCATTCTCCCCAAATGTGTAGGAGGCCGCTAACAAGGCGGCCGAATCTGGCGGAGTGAGAGGTGGAGTCGCCTCACCTCCCGCGCAACTCAGTTCCCGGAGTTGATGCGAGGTCGAACATCCTCCTTGCCTTGATCCTGGCATTGGGAGGTCTTGTGCTTGGTGCTGTTGCAGCAATAGCAGCAGCCATACCAGCTGCGCCACTTGTATTCGGCCTCGGTCAACTGAAACTGGACCCATGGTATTGGCTGTCCGTTTCCGGTCGGCGATGCGGTTTTCGCCTTCCCTTTTCCACGAGAGTTGTTGTTGCTTCGCGGCTGGACAGCGGCCACCTGATCTCCCTCACGTGATGCTGAGGTGGCTGTCGGATCTTCCACAATGTTTTCTGGTTGGACTGCAGCAATATGCTGCGGACGCAGACCAAATTTTCCCTTCTCCACATGGGCTGGCTGCCACGCTGACTTCTCGTGTGCAGCAGCCCGTTTGGTCTTGATGATCTCTCGCGCCTTGTTGATAATTTCGACAAAGGTTGTGTACTGCTCGCGATCACCGAGCGCGGCTCAAGGCGGCACACGACCGGTTGTAGAACTCTTGGCTCAGATGCGAAAATGGCAACTCGAGATCGGGCGTTGCCATGATCTTTTGCCATTTCGTGGGCCAATCGTGTGTCCGTGTGTTGCCTTGGGTCATGGTCAAGAGGTGGTTGATGGCGAGCGTCGGGGCATCGTCAACGATGAACCGCTTCTTCCATTCTCTCGTCAGATCTTCCCAGGAGATCTTCTTGTATAGATGGTTGACCTGGACGCCGTAGATGGTTGCCATGGGGCTGAGCCAGATCTGGCATCCGCCCTTGATATTGAGGAACACTTGATGAACAAGTATTCGGGGACCTCGTGAATCCCAAGCTCCGTTGTAAAACCGTCCCATCAGACGACTGGGTCCTGATGCGTATAGTCGTCAAATTTCTTGATCCGGAACGTCGGCATCTTGTAGTGCTTTGATGTACTGGTGCTGCGATCGTTATCGAACGGCTGGTGTAGCTGCCTGAGCTCGGTCTGCACGGTTTCGAGCTGTTTGCTGATGGTGGTTGGGCGGCGAGATGTTGCCGAGCATTGCGACTACATGGTCAACTCGTTCCTGCAATTGGCGGGTTGAGGGTGCACTGCTAGACTCGCCAGCATCTGGTCTTGGTGCGGCTTGCTCCAAGTCCTGTACACGGGAATGAAGTGCCCGTGTAGCATCCTCGTGCAGATCCTTGTGGTTCTGCACTGTCCGTCGGAGATTTGCCAGTTCCTGGTGCTGTTCCACCAGTTCCTGGTGTTGTTTAGCCAGTTCTTGGTGTTGTTTCTCTAACTCGGACTGCAGGTGGTTACAAGTGTAAGCCAACCGGGTCATGAGTTTGGAGAGGAACTCCTTGTGCTGCTCTTCCGGTGCCGCGTCGTCATTGTCCTCAGCTGGTTCAAAATGCCAGAACTTGAGCCTTTCGACGCTGGCGGCTTCGTGCTGCTGTAGCAGATCCTGGACCTCCTTGCAGCGTGTCTGGGTATCTGCCTCAGCTGCGGCCTGAAGTCGCTGCTTTTCAGCTGCTGCCTCTGCTTCAGCCTGTAAGCGGGTAGCCTCGGCTGCCGCCTAGCGCTGTACCTCAGCCTCAATCAGTGCAAGCTGAGCTAGAACCCGCTGATGGTACTCGTCAATGGACTCGTTGGTCAATTGACCTGGCATGCCCACTGATGAACCCGTCATTGTGGCGGGGCACTGCTGACGTGGCACTGCCACTGACGTGGCACTGCTGCTGATGTGGCACTGCTGCTGACGTGGCTCTGCTGCTGAGGTGGCACTGCTGCTGTCGTGGCACTGCTGACGTGGCACTTACCAAACCGGGGATGCAGACAAAGGGCTGGGTGGGAGGGAAACGCAGAAAGGTAACCAACCAAACACTTTCCTCCCGGTCCTAATCAACAGAATAAAATAAAATTAAAAAATAAAAGAAGAGGATCACCCCCCCTTTTTTTTTTTTTTTTTTTTTTTTCGATCTGCTATGAATGAGGCATTTCAGAGGAGTACTATGAGCGAGATCTAGGCAAGGTTCCGCAAAGTTTCGGCTTTCAAAAAAAATTTGCGCAAAATAGACTGGAGGTTCCACTTTCAGAGAAGAATAGATCCAATCCGAGAATATGACAACCTTCCTAGTTCACCTAATCTGCCCAGAGTGAAACAGGAAACGAAATGCTAATATCCGAAGTCGTGAAAAAGAGAATTTTTTTTTGCAGAGATTTGATGAAGAACTACTTGATTTACTAATAATCAATCAATCAATCAATCAATCAATCAATCAATCAATCAATCAATCAATCAATCAATCAACAATCAGCAGATCAAGCAAGCTGGCTACTTGATTGGGCGGATCCTCTGATTGAGAGGTCCGCTCCGATACCAAACTGTCGCATACCGTAACGGTACAGACCAGAACAAGAACCGACCTCTCTCACATAGTACAAGATAGCGCAGCGGAAGGCTAAAATACCAATGATCAACCCAATCAATGTCGCATACATCATCATCATGGCAAGATGTGAAGGGCCTGGCACTACACACAGGAGGAATGCCCCAGGTCCAGACCATACACAGACGAAGAGGAGGGGATCAGACGAAGAAGAGGGGGGAGATGGGAATGTCGTCAACACCAAGTCTTCGGC